ACACTGTCATGGGGTTCAATCAGTATCTGAGGATCCATTTGAGAGCTTTTCCACATTTCCACATCCTTAAGGAAATTCGTGAATGCAGACATTTTTGGTTCATACCAATCCATTCTCTCAGTTTCCCTTATTTCCTCAGATAAAAGCATTTGAACATGTCCATGACACTCAATAAATTCATTGAGTAACATCTTGAACGTTGCAACAGCTTCATCCACCTTTTCCATATTTCCACCTCGCACCAGTAATGGTTTAATTTCATTCATTCTGCGGGTGCATGCTCCAAGTTTTCCTCTTCGCGATTGGCTGAGAGTTTTAAATCTCTCCTCTGCCGCTGCAACATCAGCTGGAGGAATATCAGGATCCATTGTTTATTTTTGTTTGTTTTTTCTTCAATTAATCCACATGAAATAAAGTCATTAATATTTCCAAGAACAGTTCTTCGTGAATCCTGTTTTTGTGCCAAACATTCCTTTAACGTCCGCTTCCTTAACTGCGTGATAGTTCATTAATGCATTTCATTGTTTAAGCATTCCAACAGCAATTGTGGATTATCTTCATTTCATATCATCCCTAGTAAGCATCATGATATCACTGGATGGATTTCCCGTTTCGTTTTGTCAAACATCCGTAACTATGCACACATCAGTCCTTGCATTGTTTGATGAAGCGATCCCATTGTAAACAGCGTTTCATTCATAGATTCCGGGCCGGCATGGTTTACTCACGGCCTCCTCCTCACGGCACTTTAGAACGTCTGATCGCTGTTTCCAAAGCTGGCTGAAATCCACACGAATCCTGTGCTTGTCCTTCGAAGTTTTTATCCACAGTTTACGGAGTCTTTTGACTAATGTGGTGGCGTTTTAATCCTTCTCTACAATTTAATAGCCACCTCTATCGGGTTGTGGGTTTTGACGCGCCTCTCTTTGTTTCCAAACAAATGAGCTGAGAACATGGTTGAGTCAGATGAGCTTTATTCGTTAGTCCACACATTTCTTGGCTTCATCTTAAATCAAAGTTAATAGTCTCCACAAGAACAAAAAGAACACGGTCAAAAGACTTTTCCGTTTCCCCGTCTCATCACCATCAGCTGTGTCCTATCAACCTACCATATATAGGCATATAGCCATGCATGTGATACTGACGCACATAACAAATAATAAGTGAGCCTTAAATTAATACATTTTAAACCATAGTATGACTCACAAAAATACCTTTAGATCGTGAGTTTAATCTAATTGATATTATTATCAAGCCTAACTATCAGACAATAATAACTCAAGGAAAATGGCTCTAACAGGTCGGGACGTTGTGAAACGCGCTGAGCTCCGTGGAGGTGTTGTTTCCTTGTTAGCGATACACAGCCAAACTCATCCTGAGCACACACAAAGTCACAGCCGAAGTAAAAACAATAAGTGTGGCTTGATATTGAGTAAGAAAAAGGTTGATAAACGCTGTGAGAATGGGTCTGCAGAGAGAATTTCGCCGCGATCCCAACTGTCTGTTATCAGCCTGCAGCCAGGGAGGAGAAATCAGCTGAGCTGCCTGCTCCGTGCACACAGATGTGTGTGTGAGGAAGTCACCAATCAGCGGGGGCTTAACGTAACGGCTCCGCGGACGTAACGTAACGGCTCCACGGATTGGTCCATTTCGTTCCGGGTACGGCTTGACATCATGCCGTACCCGGAACGAAATGGAAGAATCAAATGGACAATGACGTATCTCCAACGAGGCGTTTTGGGGAGGTATTTTCTGTGTTAGAGTTTTACTCGCTACAGGGTGTACTTTGAGGGTTTGTGACTCTGCACACCGTTTACATGCATAAAAACCTTCATAACACACAAGGGGACGGGTAATAACCGGAAAAGCATGACATGGGCCCTTTAACTTCAATTTGAAAACACGTGGCAACTTTATTAATACAGCAGATGAAAAGATTTGTGGAAGGATCAATTCTTCATGGGCTTCAATGGCTCTCTAGATAAAGGGCGTTTTATGGTTGCTTGTATAATCCTCAGATAGTGGTTTGTTTAAAAAATTAGTGAGATTTTAATAAATATTGAAAAAAAGGGCTCCAAAAAAGGCATATAACCTGGCCGGCTTAACGAGTCTGTATTTCTTCAAGCACCACAAGATTCATAGTTTATAAAGTACAATTCTGGGCCATTGATTGTGTTATTTCTCCAAACACATACAGTAAAAATGCCTGTTTTGAAGTCTTAAAATGGTGCAGGAAAAGGACTTTACATTGTATTATACTTAAAGACAGGACTATTCAGTTAAGAGAAGAGAAAAAAGGAAAGAAAATTGTTATAATGGGTGATGTAACATTAATGACAGACATAATATGAGGTCCTTGGCAGTTGGCACTCAGACTCTAGGGGTCATTTTGCGATCATGGGGCATCACCCTTGTATACAGCATCAGGACAATATCATATGGAGTCAGACACTGGAAGTGTGACTGGGACTGATGGAAGGATGAGGCTGATGAGACTGAAGAATCTGCGAGGAACGAACTAGCGGCAGAGAAATAATTATATATTAAAAGACAGCAACATCATAAGAGGCCAACCAGAGTGACAGAGTGTGTCACTTTGCTGAAGGATAGTTGTGACCAGCTATCCAGGCCAGTCTCACTTTCCAAGGTGTAAAAATGCTGCTGCCGGAGTACTGACTGGAAGTATTGCTGATAATATGTCCACCATATCCTCTTAAAATACTCTGTCCAATAATATCAGTCTCAGGAAGAAAGGTCTTTTAATGCTTATTAAAAATAGCAGAAAAACATGCATTCTTGTACTCAGGAGGGGACATTGACAGAGGATTACTGGAAAAGTACATAGTAAAAGTAGCCTACTTTATAATACTCGTGGGAGTAGTTTCACTAGTACTGAGTCCAACAGTGTCAAACTCACGAAGAACTAATGGCAAAAAGGATTTTTTCCCTCATCAAACTTAAAGTGGACCTATCATGCTATATTTGAATAATATAGTGTAGACCTATATAAGGCATATTTATACTTTTTTTTTTTCAAAATACCAAATAGATCATGCATTTTAGCCATGCCTCATTTCGCTCAATTTGAAAAATGTTAGCTCTGTTTTTGCAAGGGCTGATTCTGTGAGAACAGCACCACCTACAGGCCTGGCATATGTACTACAGCGTCTCCAGCGCTTTCAAACGACAATGGCCGTGGCTGTCTCCTCCTGATTGGTGGAGTTGGCCCAATAGCCGTAGCGCCACTGTCCTGACGTCAGGACAGTGTTCAAATCTGGATCAGTTTTTATCAGATCCGTTGCAGCCCCTTTTTTTAGAGATTTGGGTATGGAGGAAAATAGAGAGGGTTGTGTTTTCTGACACTTGGTGAGTTCCCTGGAACACCGGGGACACATATTCATGTATAAAAGACGTACAAAAGTGCATTTTGCATGATAGGTCCCCTTTAACAGAAGTGGCTTGATTTTGTTCTCAGGAGGGGACATTGACAGAGGATTTTTTTTTTTTAACAACACACTAGAAGTACTTCATTGTATTGTAGGTGTAAGACTACTGAGTCAAGCAGTATCAATATCATTAAGAACTAACGGTAAAATTGTCTTTTTATCATTCATCAAAGATAGCAGAAAACATGCATTATGTACTATGGAGGGGACTCTGGCAGAGGATTACTCACAAAGTACACAGTAAAAGTATTTCATTTTATTTCTGGTAGCAGTCAAACTAGTACCGAGTCCAACAGTGTCAGTTTTATTAAGAACTTATGATAACAAATATTTGTATCGATCATCAAATATAGCAGGACAAAAAATGAAGAGCAGCTGAATTGAAAAAACAAACTCGAGAGACGGCTGAGTTGACCGCAGTGCAGAATCGCTGTAGTTTAAATCTCCAAACAAGTTGTCCATTTTAGACACAGGCTTATTATATTTACAGCCCTTAATAACATTCATTTTCTGGGCTCAATATATGTCTTGGCTGTTTTCGTTGTGATCGCTCAATTCCCCTTGTTTATAATATTATCACCGTTCCAAGCACACGAGTTTTCAAAACGAGTTGTTTTGAAATCACTTCTGTGAGTTTCGCCCCGCCCCTCGCTCCAAGGACCATTAGACCATTTAGTAAGGTAAAAAGCAAAAACGCCTCGCAGACGCTCTTCCGTTTACTTGTTTAATAAAGAAAAACAATTGGACGGTAGATACACGGATTCTATTGCTATATAAAAATGTTATGCAAAATGTCAATTAATCAATTAATCACATTCAATGTATATAACCCAATATCACAAATTACACATTTGTTTCAGGGGCTTTACAGACTGTACAGCATGCAACACGCTCTGTTTTCAGACCCATGCAGTGCACAAGAGAAACTCCACAATTAACGGGTAAAAATTAGAGAAATGTCTGGGAGAGCAACTGAAGAGGGATCCCACTAGACGGACAGACATGCAAAAGAGGTTGTGTGTACAGAATAAACCTGCATTATTTGAATGTATAATTCTAGCTGTAGTGTTTTTAGAAGCACTTGGATGTTTTTAAATGCCAATCAAAAAGGTGTGTCCTACTTGTTCAGTGTACTCTTACAATCTTGCATTAATGTTGAGTCATTAGGTGAAATTATATGAATTCTTTTGAAATAGGAAGAGATTTTTCAATGAAAAACAGCAGAATTTTTAAAATAATATTTACATAAAATAGAAAAGGCTGTAAAATCCAATAAAAGAGGTCTGTCCTATTTGGCCATGTAGTCATCATAACTATTATGGATTGAAAGTCACTGAAACACAACTACTGAAAGCTAATTACAAAACTGACATAATAATGTATAACATATGTAAATCAATTCAGCTTATCTTGTCAGCATATCAGTCATTACAGCATCATAAAGTAAAATGTTTATTTCGGACAGCCTTTTTTTAAAGTTATATTTCTCAAGAAACCAAAAGGTGTGCTGCTTCCTTAAACCTTTCAACCCTCTGTCCAGGAATGGGTGGGGTGGTTTTACCTGGTGAGGTAGAGAAAAAAAAATGAAACCTAACACGTCAGCCCTTATGTCAACACAAGTCCTTAACAAGTAGTCTGGCGTTAGTGCTTTCAGCAGATTAGTCGTATAGTTTCTCGGGTCAGGGTTAGTTACAGGTTAGATGTACAATATATTTCTGTTTTCATTTTAAACACGCAGGTGATAAGTTGTGGAGTCGAGGAACTGAAGAACGCACACTGTCAGAGGAGAAACATGTCTGCTGCAAGGTAAACAATATCGTTGAGACACTTTTGAACAGAAAAATACATTAAAGAGTTTATTTTGTAGTACAGTAAGTGTCATTTTAGCTATTTCCACTGTGTTTTATAATAGTAAATACACGTAGGAAGTAATGTTAAAGCCTATCGTGTGATAAAAGGCAACAAACTGAAAAGTAGCCATAGCACGGTCTCTTTGTTGTAGTTTAGTTTCTTTGCGTCACTCACTTTGTAGTTGCTTTTTGTCTCGGTGACTCGTGCAGGTGAAGCAGAACTCTTACTTCGGTTCAACTTCAGTATTGAGTTTACCCTGAAGATAAAGACAGGATCTCTGACTTTTTGTCTTAATGTTCCGCCACAGCAGATCAACACCGACGCTCCTCAGCACAGAAATGGAGTTATTTGGTCAAATTATTTAGATATTTACCGCGGTGAAGTTAGCTTTAGGTTGGTCAATTGAAAGACATTCACGCCGGTTTCTGCTGCGTCTTTATACTGGACAAATAAGGCATTACCAAGTTTAATTTATTTGTATACCTTCCATTTCATGTTACCCAGTGACTCCAAATTCATAACAGATATCATTACTGCACTTGACAAACAGGAAAAACGTTTTTTATTAATTCAGTCCACTTTCTAATTTATAGAGGAAGATTTTTACATTAAAGGTCCCCTATTATACTGTTTTTCATCAATATATTATAGGTCTCAGATATATACAAAACATGTCTCTGATGTGCTTGGCTCGAAATACCAAACAGATCATGCATTTTAGCATCCCATAAACCCCCTCTGTTTCAACCCTGTTTCTAAAGTGCTGATTCTCTGTCTGTTACTTTGGATCAGCGTTTCTCAAAGTGTGGGGCGCGCCCCACTGGTGGGGCGCAGAGATGTGATAGGTGGGTCGCGAATGGATGCGATGAACGGGAGATTATCATTATTATTATTTATTTTTTTAATACATTTTTTGGACCTCAGGCTGGAATCGAACCTGGGTCCTCGCGGGCGATAGTGGACTGTTACAGCCGGAGACTCGCAACGGGTGTTTGCAGCGGCGGATGCGGTGGCGGATGCGGTGGCGGATGCGGTGGCGGATACGGTGGCGGATGCGGTGGCGGATGCGGTGGCGGATGCGGTACCGGCGCAGCGGCGCCGTGAAAGTACACGGCCCACCTAAGGCAGCAGCCCACAAACGGCAGCGGCCCACCGGGAAAAGTCCCGAATCTCCCGATGGCCATTCCGAGCCTGCTCACACACACACAACTGAAACCAAAATAATTTACAAGTTGGGAAGAAAAGCAATGTGGAGCGGCACCTCACCACTTCATAAGGAGTTTAACCGTGAAATATGTTTATTATTATTTTTTAACTAGGGCTGCCAGTCGATTAAAATATTTAATCGCGATTAATCGCATGATTGTCCATAGTTAATCGCGATTAATCGCAAATTAATCGCACATTTTTTATTTGTTCTAAATGTACCTTAGAGGGATATTTTCAAGTTTTTAATACTCTTATCAACATATGAGTGGACAAATATGCTTTATATGTTTGTTTGTTTGTTTATTATCATTTGAACAATGACAAATATTCTCATGAATATTAAACACAACAACCTCTGAACATTACAAATATTCGCCTCAATTCAACCTGGAACCTCTCTCATACAATAATACAATACAAAGTGTGTGTGTGTGTGTGTGTGTGTGTGTGTGTGTGTGTGTGTGTGTGTGTGTGTGTGTGTGTGTGTGTGTGTGTGTGTGTGTGTGTGTGTGTGTGTGTGTGTGTGTGTGTGTGTGTGTGTGTGTGTGTGTGTGTGTGTGTGTGTGTGTGTGTGTGTGTGTGTGTGTGTGTGTGTGTGTGTGTGTGTGTGTGTGTGTGTGTGAATGAATGTGGAGAGACACTGTGATGGATCGTTGGAGCTATGTGCAACTCAAGGCATATGCTCGAACGGGAGCTGCCTGGACGCTGCAATCATGTTGCGTGCACTATCCGTGCTGAGTGTGCTGACTTTTCGTACAATGTCCCACTGTCTGGCTACCTGCATAAAGTCAAGTGCTCGGCGCAGTTGTCGGCGAAATGTCGCTCCTCTGTTTTCATTGAAACAGCTCCTTATATCTGTTAGCGCAGCTAGCTAGCACCAGATGCTAACAACAACAACAATAACACGTAAGGTGTGCCTCGCTCGCGCCACACATACACACACCCTCCCGGTCCTCCCGATGGCCAGTCCGGGCCTGCCGGTGAGCGTGGAAGTGTGGTCTGCCACAAGCGGGCGGCAGGAGCGGGGCTGTCAGCATCAGCTTGTAGATGGTATTTTAAACTCGATGCGCTCTGAAACTACGGGGCGGGGTGGCCAAGGACAAAAAATACACATGCGTTAATCGCGTTAAAATAATTTGTGGCGTTCATTTTTTTTTGCGTTAACGTGTTATTAACGCGTTAACTTGACAGCCCTATTTTTAACGCAAGCCGTCATCGCCACGGAGGAGCACACAGCCTCTGTGAGCGAGCGAGAGAGAGAGAGAGCGAGAGAGCTAGAGAGAGCACACCTTTATCTATTTAATATAGCCTAGTTGTAAAAAATAAAGTAAGAAATCATTCCAATGTGTACAGTCAAAAAAAAAAAAAAAGTTTAAAAGGAGAGTGATTAGTAAAATATGCATAAATAAAAAGAAAGAATGCTAACTAGGTAACATAAGATAAGAATAAACAAGTTTAAATGATTTGTTATTGGTTGTGATCATATTCTAAAGATGTTTGGATTATTGAAAAGTATACAGCTCCCTTTCATATGGGTGTTGAGAGCTGTATCCATAAATTCATGTTGTGCTCAAAGTGCACCAGATTGATGCTTTTAACTTCAACATTTAAAAAAGAATCTTCCCGGGGTGCATGCCCCCGGACCCCCCTAGAGGAGGTGAGGACCACCCCCAAATAAAGCAGGTTAAAATAATTAAATTGTATACATTTTATTTTTAGTAAACACTGAAAATGGGTCCCACAGACCCAAACAGCACACAAAGGTTAAAGGTAAGCATATAATAATGTTAAAATATGCTAAATATATACACTGCAAAAAAAAAAAAAAGAGGAGTAAAAGTAGCTCACGACAGATGGAGCTTGAAAAGGCCCACCTGTTGAAAGTGGGGAATTGCAGAAAAAGTTTGAGAACCACTGCTTTAGATGAAAATAAGGTGCCCCTCCCAACGCCCCTCTGCGAGACATTTGGTTAAAAAGAACACAATAGCCGCTTTCACACCGAGTACTTTGCCGGCACTTAGTGCCCCCATGGAACTAAGAGCCGATCGCGTTCACACCGGAATAAGTTCCCTGAGGGAAGATTACGCAAATGAGCCGCTGACGTCACTTCGTCTTCTTCTGCTTCGGGTTTACTGGCAGGCCGCAAACAACTTCACGGCGTATACTGCCACCCGATGTCCCCGGCCGGAAGTCACCGGAGTTGGGGACTGGCTTCAGTAGAAGCTGCTGGGACTCCCAGCAGCTTCTACTGAAGCCTTCCGAGTAAATCACCAGAACGCCGACACCTCCTCATCACTCCACCGCTCCCATGTTTTTTTTTGTGTTGCCATAAGTTATTCTCTCTCCGTTGGTGCGCGGGGCTAATGCTAATGCTAATAATGCTAATGGTTACACAAGGAAAAAAATCGTTATGACATCATAAAGTGGCCAAAATCTGATCAGCTAATTTTCAGACAGGTTTTTATATAAATGGATCAGGACAAAAAGAAAGAGAATCTTTTTTCCTGAAACTTTCAGAATCTTTTTACACAGAGGGGACACATGTTTATTTATAAAAGACATTAAAAAGAGGATTTTGCATAATAGGTGACCTTTAATACATAAAAGTGCACAACAAAAGTCCTATCCAAACTGATGAATGTGGACTAAATTTCATTAAAAAAAGACATATTTTTCTCTTGTTCATTGTACTTATACAATTCTGCAGTGACATTTGTTTTAGCATAATGGCCATTGGCCACTTATATGAATCAGCATGGTGGTTTAGAAATAAGATATGTTTTGTCTCATAAAATGGTAATTTATTGATGGTCCTAAAGTAAAACCCTGTGTTTAAGTGCGAGGGGTTTCAGATGTGAGCCAATCCTCCTCTGACTGTCAACAGTCTGTGTAAATGAGTAAGAAAACCATAATCAAGGGCTGCCTGTGTTTTTAAGAATAAGTTTGACCAGAGGCTTTGGGCCGAGGGAATATTTGGTGGGGACACAAAGCTAGAGCTGGAGATATACGGTAGACCTTGTGATAAAAGACAACAATGGCACAACGACAATTCAGTTTGAATTTGTTTTGTTTTCCAATTTTACAAACTAATGATGTTTTGTGTTACAGAAAGGACCTCCAGGAGGCCTTGTGCTGCTACACCGCAGACACCCTCATCGACATCGACACAGTAAAAGAATTCTGTGAGCAGAGTTCTAAATGGATACTAAAGAGGGAGAAAGAGGTGGATATGATGATTGACATCAAAACCAGGGCTGATAAAATTGACCTCTGCATCGGCCATGTTACCCAGTCACAGACCAGAGGTAAAGCCTTTCTGGAATATATGAAGAGCAAGGTAACCCAGGGTACTGCAGACAGGAGGCGAGCAGAGCTGGAGGAGGAGCTGGCTGCTCTGCTGAAGTCCACTCTGGAAGGCCTGGGGGAGCTCGACTGCTTCTTGGATGCGGTGGAGAATCTGGCGGTCACCTCACTTCCTTTGTTCATGGAAGAGAACCAGGTGTTACATCTGCCTGAAGGGATCAGCCCTGTAACGGTTCAGGTTGTCATCATTGCTGCACGGAAAATCTGCCCTCACCTCCTCGAGTTTAAAAGAGATGCAGACGCCTTCTTCCGCCCCAAACTTCAGAATGTTGAAGTGCTGGCATATCAGCTGGACAAATACATAAGGACCACCGAGAACATCTGTGAGAAGTTAGAGAAAAGGTAAAGAGGCATGTCCTTAAAATAATATGCACATTTTGCAAAATAAACATCTATGATAAAAAATATTTTCCTGTTTTTCACAGCTCCTTCTGTGACTTTTGCCTGAAGATGAACGACGATACTCTGGTAGACCTCGCTGTGGATTTGTCTGAAGATGACACACAAAGGATGCTTCATCACATTAATCAGCTCGAGGAACTCAGGTACGTGTAACTCCTTTATGTGGTTTTTGTCAACACATGAATGCTAATGTCTTTGGTTAGCAACTGACTTCTCTAGCGCTCTGTCGTGTCAAACTTAATCAATTTAATTGCCAGACTTTGGTTTGTCACCAAATTTCTGCAAAGGTTAAGACATTGCCTTTACCTCAGTATAGTGTTAATTAGCAAACATGCTGAACTAAGATGGTCACGCAATAACAATAACAAAATAAATAAATACTTAAACAAAATGCAAAGGAGCTCGAGACACTGTATGAATACTGTGGACTCTTAACGTACATTTAGCTGCAACTGCAGGATTTTAGAGGCCATGTTTTTACAATTTATAATCCAATGTGTTTCTACTGCATTTAAGGTTACCTACTAAAGTTTTCAAATGCATAATTTTCATTTGTATTTTTCTTCAATTCTCATCATCAGGATGAACCAGAGCTTCCGGATGGTGTTCTTGTTTCAGGAGGACGAACCCTGCTCTGATTTCATCAATAAGTTTAAAGAGCGACAGCCGAGGATGGAACAGTCTCTCAAGGACCTGGAGGAGCATGCTGTTCAGTTAGACAGGATGAATAAGGGAGCAAAGATCTCAAGTGTGGCAGGCAGCTCAGTGGGGGCAGTAGGAGGTGTGCTCTCCATCGTTGGTTTGGCTTTAATTCCTGTAACAGCTGGAGTGTCTTTGGCTCTGACATTGACCGGGGTAGGCATGGGAATTACAAGCGGAGTCAACAGCGCTGTCACCACCGCCACAGAGATTGGAGTAAACCATACATATCAAAAGAAAGCCAGAGAAGTACTCGAGAGCTTCATGGAGGATGTGCAGTGTCTCCAGGATTGTCTGGAGGAGGTCACCAAAAGAGAAAAAATCCACATAGATGTTGTTCTCGGGGTCGGCAAGGTGCTAGCTAAAGTAGGTGTTACTGGAAAAGGTATTGACTCATTAGTTGATGCAGCCTCTGCTTTCAAGCTGTTAAAAAGTGAACAGCTGGCTGTGAGTGCTGGTAAAGTGGCAGTGCAGGAAGGGAAAGCTTTACGCAGCGTTCCCAGGGTGGCGTCAGATATCCCAGATATCGGTCAGGCAGCAGTCAAAGGGCCTCTTGCCCTCTCCAAGTCAGCCAGGGCCGGTCTCATTGGGCTCAATGTTCTGTTCCTCGGCATGGATATCTTCTTCATCTGTAAAGATAGCATGAGTCTGGCCAAAGGAAGCGAGACTGAGGTCTCACAGTTTATCAGAGCCAGAGCAGCACTTTGGAGATCAGAGGTGGATTCAATGCAGACGATCCATGACCTCCTCTGCGAAGGTTTGAAGATTTCGGAAGAAAACAAAGCTATCCTGAGACACCAATTTTTCCAGAGAGGAAGTAAATGAAGTACATTCTATAAGCTGTATGATCTGCATTATTTGTAAGTATAATTCTAACTGCCTTTTTTATTGCACAAATTAATCAATACAGTTTTAAACAGTTAAATGTTGTTTCTGTTCACTTCAATGTTGGATAGATTTTGGATGTTTTTAAATGATAGCATGATCTTAAATAATTTTCTCCAAGATGCTCAACCACACCATTTATATTTTATATGTTCAATTTCTCCTAATGACAATACCTGCACCTGCATTTTGCAATAATGTTGCCAAATGAAGTTTGAAAATATTAGTTAAGTTTAAATGTAAACATATTTCTTGTGTTTATATTTGGAAATGTGTATTGTTTTATATGTATTGTTTGTACCACTATGACACTGCAGATATTATTTGTCTCTAACTTGTCTTATTATTTTATTGGTACTAGATGCGTATTTTGTAAATTGTGAATTTTGTCATTTCTATATTTTATACATACGTATTAATTAATAGTATGCTATCTTTGGCTCTTTACTTGCTGTACAAATGTAGTTGTGTACCCTCTGTGGGATGAATAAAGGTGTCTCATCTGATAACATTGATGTAGTTGTACATTACTGTGACCACTGGAGGGCAGTAAACCAACACGCCCCATGGTGTCAAACAAATAACACACTTCAGATTAAAACGTACAGAATGAAAAAATTAATTACATGAGAGTGGTGATTTTACAAAAACAATTCATCACAAAGCAACAATTTATTACAGGGCTGTTCATTATGGAGCAGCGGTTCGTACTATAGACCGTGCTTTACTCTTTCGTCCCTCCTGATCTCCCCGCCGGGCGGTCCCCAAACAGAAAGCGAACCACAACCTTTGACACGGTAACCTTGGTATGTAAACGTTAAATAAAACATCATTATAAACTGCACCAAAGGACCAGAAATTCATCTGTTTGTGTCTGCGTCTGGATCACTCTCCAACCCTCCTGTGAAGTAATGGCAAAAGGATATAGGACATTGGAACATTACAATTGCCATTACAGATTCTATCCTGTTTAGATTTTGCAGCAACTTCAGGATTTTAGACAGGGACGTGCACAGACATTTGGAGGGGCTATTGCTCTAAACTGGAAAAAGGGCCTCCCCCCGATAAAAAACACAAGACCTTTTGAAAATTGTAACTTGTTTTTAATGTAAAAGAAACCAAACGATTATTACATCAACTAAATTGAACAGTAATTCACATCTCATAACAAAATAAGCTAAGGTGACTACATTCGGTAACTTGATTTTAAAAATGAAAACCAGGGACATTTTTTGTTTTGCGGTCCATACCTCATCAAAAATATCTAATGTTAGTAACTATTAAAGACAAAATGGGGACAATTCTGTTCTAATGTAGTTTGACCATTGTAACTGCTGTGCAGACATACATACTGATAAAATAGGGCCTCTAACTAATTACCTTAAATAAACTCACTAATTAATGAAACCAGTTCAATACGCATTATTCTTATTCTTATCATTATATGAGCGCAGTAACGGTAAGGTATCTAATTACTTATTTATTTAGTATTCCATAACTTAATAACAGAGATGGTCAAACTAAAGTGGTAGAGATGGCAGAAATCCTACAATGAAGCGGGACAGTGAACTGTTCACCCGTGAAAGGGCGATCAAGAAAAGAGAGCGAGCGGCCCCGTTGAGGGAGTTTACAGATGAAAAGACACAGAAAGACAGAAGCACAATAACAACAAGTAGGCTATATTTAGGTGTTTTTTTGTAAATAACCGACGGTATCAAGAGGAAGTAAAGTCCCCTGGTTTGTCCCTTATACCCTAACTGCCATGATGAGACAACTCAAAATTAAGTTTCCAAAATCCGACACTGAGGTGGTCTTAACGCACCGGCAGATGACAGCGCTGACAAAGTCTGTTTCGCGCAGCGAGACGCTACAATACTAATTGTGGGCTTATCATATTGATTCGGCCACAACAGAAAAAAGAAAAACAAACTCTCGCTCTCTCCATAGGGGCAGGCAGTGGCGGCTGGTGGTCTTTTATTTTGGTGGGGCTCTTGACTAGTGATGTGTCGGTCGCGAACGAGCCGATTCTTTTGAACGGCTCTTTGGTACGAACGAGGGGAACCGAGTCGTACTTGGTGAGAGCCGTTCTTTTTATCGTTCAATCGTTGGTCCGCACTCACTGCCTGCCAAAATCCACTCGCCTTTTAAAAAGCTTGATTTTGTTCCCCAAACGTATTCTGTGAAGACCCGCCCCTACTCTGATTGGTAGGTTTCAGCTCGAGGAGTGAGATGGGGTGGGTCTTAACGGAATACGCGAGGGAGAGAAGTCATAACAAGTGGTACAGGACAGGTAGACGACGTGTTTTTCAGATGGAAAATGAGCCAAACGCGAAAACGCAGCAGCATCTGGATGCACTTCAACCCAAACCCAGGCAGTGATAAAGCGCACCATTTGTAAAGGCAAAATATCCTTTAAAGCAGGGTCAACAAATAATCTCCATCGCCACTTAAAAACACACTATCTAATATTAAGAGTTGCGTTAATTTCATTCAAGGCAAGGCAACTTTATTTACTTAACACATACAGAGGGTAAATTCAAAGTACATTCACTGACATGAATGACATGGATGTGGCGCCACCTTGTGTCATGTTTACAATGCAGATTATTGACATTAGGTCTGGCAATACAGTCAATCATTATCCTGGTGATTATTTCGCAGATAAACCTAGTAACCCCGACCCCTTTAAAAAAACGGCTCTTTTGAACGGCTCTTTGAAAGGAACGGAGCCATAAGATCCGGCTCCCTTCAAAGAGCCATAATTCCCATCACTACTCTTGACGTACCGGAAGTGACCTGCCGGAAGTGACCTACCGGGGGGGTCCGGGGGGTTTACCCCCCCGGAAAAAAAATTCGAGAAATGACCCCTTAAATTATGACTTCTGGTGATGTTAGAGGGGGTGGGGAAAGGAGAAATCGAGGCTTAAAAATATGAGAAGACTGATCAATACCTCCATAATCTTCAGTGTGGAAAATATTATTTATCAACCTGAACATCTAATACTTTACCAGGAATTTGTATTCTCAGAACTGGTCCGCATTTTTCTTTCTTAAAACTGTTCATGTTTTATGAACCAACACCTCCACCAAGTGGCTTTACAGTGAACTGCATGTGGGATATAAAATTAATAGCATATTTTCAGTAGCATTAATTATAAATATTTAAGTGGTTCAATACAAGTCACTACAGCATTTCAAACTGAACTGTGAATAAATGCAATTTAAAAAAAATAACCACAGCACAAAAGGTCATAAATTGTGTTTTTTCTTTGTTTCTCTGAGGATTATTTACAAACAGGCTTATTTACATATAGCAATAACTCAGAAATGAAAAAGCTACATCGTCTAACACGAACAACCAGTTAGCATAATGATAATATATGTGTTATGTACAATGTAACTGGCAAGGCTAGAGCAAGAAAGAACATAAAGTTTGCAAAAGGTTTAAATAACTTCAAGTATCTGTCTTCAGATTACGTGGAGGTTTTAGTCCGATGGGAAGCAGATTTTAAGCGACACCGAAGATAAACCAAAGATGTGGTGGAGCTGCAAACCGTGTAGTGTTGCTGGGACAGGAGCTATAACCGTTGGAAAATACATCACAGACAATGCAACAAACGTGGAGACAGAACAATCACTTCTGTGATAAATGCCCACTTATTAATAAACTTCTAACAACCATGGGAAACCTACTCTCTACATATAAAGTGATATCCAGCTTATTGGCCTATAGCACCTTTTTTACTGCTTTGAATAACAAAATGTGCAACAGGCAGAAAAAAGACAAAAGGAAACAAGAAACAACTGTTCCTCTGGGGAAAATGAGTCGAACGCAACAGGTTTCCAAACAGTACTCATGTTCCTGGACTTTGTGGTTGAACAAAACATCTTAGGTATCCAAAAGTAACTTCACAACATTCTGCATTAATTATGCATTAACATTAATTGTCTCTCTAATGAAACGCATTTTTTTAAGGGTCGGCCATCTGTGTTTGCTGCGAGAGCTTGTGTGTGTGTGTGTGTGTGTGTGTGTGTCTATTTGTAGAGGAATTTTGCCCTTCTCTCCTTCTGAGTGGCAAACCTCTCAATGACTCTGGTGTTGAAGTCAGGAATGCTCCTAATGAGTTTTTTCTCAATTGACAGCATAGCCAGAGCATTCAGGCGATCCTGTGTCATGCTGTTCCTCAAGAAAGTCTTTATCCTTTTCAGAGTGGAAAAGCACCTCTCTGCCTCAGCCGTAGCCATGGGTGTGGTTACAAGAACCTTCAGAAGACTGACAGTCTCTGTAAATGTCTCCTGCAGATTATTGTCAAGGAAGAACTGGAGCAGAGTAACAGCACCACTGCAAGCCCTGAACTGGTCATTGTCATAGACGAGGGACAGTTCCGTCTTGAGCTTTGCCTTGTCCAGTAGAGGGTAGGCCTCCACAGTTGTTTCCAGCGCTGCTTCAGGGAATGTTCGGCTGTGCTGCTGGAACAGGTCTCCTTGCAGGAGGGTGGAGCTGATGAGGTGTTTGGTGAAGGAAAATCTCTCCTTTGCGTGACTCAGTATGGTATCACATACCTATGAAATAATGCACAATGAAAAAATCAAGACATAATAAATAACAGAATCACCTTTTCACATCTATCAGTCATAATGTCATTAGTGTCCCCTATAAGATGTGTAACAAACAAAGAGCTTTCTTGTGAATGGAACCTATCAGAATAACAGGACATCTATCTGAGCATCAACAGAACAATATTACTGTTTAAAATTAAGTCACTACAATATATACATTTAATGACTATGTTTACACTTCATTCATTTATTGTTGGGCCCTTTCTGTCCACTGTGGTTGCTTCTGGAAGCCTAAACCTTTTCTGATCTGTCTTGATCCCCTTTGAAATGTAGAGACTGTGGGACACTTTTTGCAGTTTAGGCCTTGTTAAGTGTATACAATTCAGAATGTAATAAGCAATAGGCCTTTCCATGTAGATATTTTAACTAGCCTACCTATTTATTTAATTTACAGAAAATGGGCTTTCTTGTGAAATGTATCATTATTGTGATATGAAATGACCTATATTATGAAAGGAGCTTTTAGTCATAGAACACGTTCCTATTACTGCTTACCTCTCTAGCCAACAGCTGTTGCTCTTCATGTCCAAGTCCCCTCCGTTTCTTTGTGGGCAGCTGCTGAGATCCACTGCTTTCACCAGAAGGAATGGAGTCCCTGATCCAAACCACAAGTAACCATGTACAATTACTCATTGTGGCAAGAATTGACAAATTAACTTGACTATTTGAAATAGTAGTCAGAGATACACCTTATAAACGTTATATAATATATACATTTCCAGTAAGCCTGTTTAAGATATTTAAACAAGTATGTGTGAGTTGGTCTATTGTGTTCAGCTAAATCACATTTAGGTTTCACAGATTTCCTATAATAAGCACATCTCAGACATTGTAAATAATGATTTACCTGATTGTTTGTATGCTGCTGGTGAACCTCTTGATGAGTCCTGTGATGTAGACAGAGTCGATGTTCCTCTTCTGCAGTTGGCTAAACAGCATGTCTACATGTGGCATGATCTTGTGGAACAATGTCAGGAAAAAGCAAAAAACTTCATCTTCCATCATTCGCACAAAGCCCCCGGCTTCTCTCACTGTTATGGGATCAAAGTCACCTGAGTCTCTGATCGTCTGGAAACACCTCAGGATGTTCTCCTTGTGCTCATATACAGTGTTAACAGCACGACTGTGAAAGTTCCATCTTGTTGTGGAAGTGCCAGGAAGTCTGTGTGCCACCACTTGATCCAGGATCGCAGTTCGCTTGAATGACCTGGAGAAAAATGCAGCAAATCCACCAAGGTCTGAAAAAAATGTTCTTATCTTGGGGATGTGGGATGTTGCCTGCTGCATAATTAGGTTCAGCTGATGCGCATAGCAGTGGATGTAGTGCGCACTACTGTACACATCCTTCACTTTCCGCTGAACTCCACCTTTAGCTCCCCTCATCACCGCTGCACCGTCATAGGCTTGGGCGATTAGTTTGCCCTGTTGTCCATCGGGGAGGATAGTGCCCAGCCTCTCCATCAGCGCGGTGGCAACTGTGTCAGCATTCGCATTCTGAAGAGGAATGAACTAAAAAAAACGCTCCTGGACGTTGTTATGCGGGTCGATGTAGCGTAGCACAAGCACTAACTGGCAGTGGGTGGAAATGTCAGTTGTCTCATCCGCCTGAATAGCTAAATAACTGGCATTTTTTACTTCCTCCAGAATGTAGTCTTTACAAACTGATAACATGCAGTCCAAAAGTTCATTTTGCACCGTCTTTGAGGTGCCTTTGAAAACCGTAGCCGTTTTAAGGTGATCCTCCAACACGCTATCTAACGAGGCCAGTAGATTAACTAAACCCAGAAAAACGCCGGGGTTGTCGGATGTGTCAGCCTCGTCGTGGCCACGCAAAGCCAGGTCAAAGCCCCCACAAAATTTCACACAATCAATTATTTTAGACAAGACGTGCCTATTCTTGTCCACTTCTTCATTGTGCTTTTTCACCGAGATCTTGTACCCTTGATCTAGCTGTGCGGCTATGTTAGCTTTGCCTAGCATGGCTAGCTTAAAGGTGTTTGTCATGTGTGCCTTAGTGCACTCGTGCTTTTTAATTTTGTTGGACAAATGCTTCATATCGTTTACTCCTATCACAGTCCACGGGCACATTGTATCTGTCCCCGGCTGTTTGAAGAGCAAGCATGGGAAACAAAAGACAGCATTTACCTGTTTGCATCCAGCTAGCCAAGCCTTTCTTGTGTACCAGCTACTTGTGAAGCCTCGTGTATAAATTTTGTCTTTTTCACGAGATTGCTGCGATATATTCAAATCGGGTTGATCCGGTCCAAGGTCTTTAAGCAACAATTTATCTGCCAAACTTCTCCTTTCGAAAGGATTGGAGATTAGCTCTTGAACAGAATTAGGCGAGGACCGAGGTCCGGAGACTCCACCTGCACACGAAGCCATCCTCATCAACTACTGCGTCAACCGGATACGAGTCACTGTCCAAACTACTCACAGACTGCACTGGGCGCTGACATTGGCGCCCGGTGACCGTCATCTTTGACGACGCTGATTGGCTGAAATTATATTTTCGCGGCATAGTTTACACGTTACAGATAGCAACAGTCAGCTGCTAGTGGCTGCTGCTGCACTGGTTGAAGGCTCCTCTCTTAGCGCCCAGACGAGAGAAGGTGCATGCATGGGCAAGGCCAGGCAGGAAACATGTGACTTATCAGTAACTTTAGACATCGTAACACAATTTTAAACGAGATTTTATTGTAGATTATACATTTTACTGATACCAATTATATAATATTTACCTTGTTCATTAAAAATAAAAATAAAAATATATATATTTTTTTAAACATATATATTTTTTTTAATTTTAATTTTAATTTTTTTTTTTATTTTTTTTTTTCAATATGGGAAGAGGTGGGGCGGCGCCCCTAGCGCCCCTATGGACCGGCCGCCACTGGGGGCAGGTCAGCCAAAAAGGCCAAACGGGCCGTTGCCCGGGCAACATTAGCCCGTACCTGTGCACGTCCCTGATTTTAGAGGTAACTTTTGTTACTAAATAGACTTAACTAGATATTCATGATTCATTTTATGAGGACTCATTTTGAAAGCACACTTGGGTTATGGTCCTTGTCCAGCAGAAGTAAATACTACTGTATGTTTTCATTTATTTATGAAATATTTAGTTTTTTAATATTGATTTTATTGCTCTTTTTAGTCTCCTAATGTGTGTCACAAAAAGGAAATCCCAAATCTAATATTTGTATACTATATTATGGGTTACATACTAATTGAGATTCATCATGTTAATTTGTATTTGTTAATTTCTTCAATTCTCATCGTCAGGCAGAACCAGAGCTTCCAGATGGTGTTCTTGTTTCAGGAGGACGAACCCTGCTCTGGCTTCATCGATGAGTTTAAAGAGCGACAGCCGAGGATGGAACAGTCTCTAATGGCGCATTTCCACTACACGGTCGGCCTCGGCCACACTCGGTACGGCTCGGTACGGCTTGGCCGCGTTGGGCCTTAACAGGGCCGACTCACTTCATGCTGCGCTTCCATTACAGTTTAGGAACTGGGGTAGTTACTATAGTAACGCAGTGTAGGCGGAGCCGTGACGTCATCTTCAATGAGAAATCCAGAAACACAACACAGCCGTTAGCTGTGAGCACTCAGAGCTCACAGCTCCTTATATATGTTCAGAAACTCGACAAAAGTTAAACAAGTACACACCACAGACTGCCTGTGTCATGGTGAATACAGTCGCTGCTTTATTTATGTCTGTATAGGCCGTTGTTGTGAGTGTGGACGGTCGGGGCATATACTGCGTTAGCTTAGCCAATCTCCATCTAGAAAAACACGAATTTTAAAAGGTTTTTCGCCTGCCGTCTGTCTGCAGACTTGACAAAGCATTAATTCATGGTTTTTACTAACCGGTATCAGTATGTTGTTACTTCGGCATCATTTTGAAACGTGTATTACAATTAAATCACGGTCAAATATGTCCATCTTGTTGTAGTTCTAGCCCTCTTGCCAGCGCTCCTCTCTCTAGTTTAGCATACTCAGCCCGACTCAGTCCTGTTTGTTGGCCCCGATAGAACCACAATTTTCTAGGGCCAGAAAAGAGGGGAAAAAGTGGCCCCGCGCCGTGCCGCGCCGGAACGAGGCCTAGTGGAAGCACAACCAAAAAAGGGGACGGCACGACACGGCACGCTTAAAGCGAGCTACGCGCTGCAATGGAAATGCGCCATAAAGGGCCTGGAGGAGCATGCTGTTCAGTTAGACAGGATGAATATGGGAGCAAAGATCTCCAGTGTGGCAGGCAGCTCAGTGGGGGCAGTAGGAAGTGTGCTCTCCATCGTTGGTTTGGTTTTAAGTCCTGTAACAGCTGGAGTGTCTTTAGTTCTGACAATGGCCGGGGTAGGCATGGGAATTACAAGCGGAGTCAACAGCGCTGTCACCACCACCACCACAGAGATTGGAGTAAACTGGACATATCAAAAGAAAGCCAGAGAAGTATTCGAGAGCTTCATGGAGGATATGCAGTGTCTCCAGGATTGTCTGGAGGAGGTCACCAAAAGAGAACAAATCCACGTAGATGTTGTTCTCGGGGTCGGCAAGGTGCTAGCTATAGTAGGCTATAGAGAGCAACTGAAGAGGGATCCCACCCAGGGGTGGGCATTTTACGGCCCGCGGGCCACATCCGGCCCGTTGGCCGGCCTTGGCCGGCCCGTGTGAGGTTGATCATAAATTATAACATAATGAAAAAAAACAGCAACCTTTTCAAAATAAAAGCAACACAGCTGTATTGCTTGCATGGCGTAAATACTTTTCTAACTGTGTTGCTTTTATTTTGAAAAGGAAGCTGCTGTTTTTTTTATTTATTTACGTAAACGCGCATGCCGTAACAGCTACGAGTGATGCTGGCCGGCTAGTCCTCGAAATGTCCGCTAAGGGCAAAAAAAGAAAGATCGATACTGAATGCCGTATTTTCAACAAGACATGGACCGCTAAGTATTTATTTACAGAAGTGAAAGGTAAAGCTGTGTGTTTAGTTTGTGGTGCGCAGGTCGCTGTGTTCAAGGAGTACAATTTGAGTCGCCACTATGCTACCAAACACGCAGATAAATACAAGAACCTGTCTGAGGAAGAGCGGGCAAAGGGGTCGGATGCTTTGCTAGCTAAGCTGCAAAGCCAACAACACATTTTCACAAAACATTCCACATCCAGAGATGCAGCTGTCAAGACGAGTTATGTCTTAAAAGTTAACCGTTTTCGGACGAAGAGTTCATTAAGGAGTGTTTGTTGGACACTAATATGCCCGGAGAAAAAGGAGGCATTTGAGAAAGTGCCGCTCTCCCGACGCACTGTTACGAGGAGAATTGAGGACATCGCGGGAAATCTGGAGCTTCAGCTGCAGAACAGAGCGGTCAACTTTGACTTTTTTTCCTTGGCTTTGGATGAGAGCTGCGATGTACGTGACACTGCCCAGCTACTCATCTTCCTACGTGGGATAACTACAGACTTCAAAATCACGGAGGAGCTGGCAGCCATGCAGTCAATGAAAGGTACAACAACAGGGAGTGATTTGTTCACGGAGGTAAATGCATGTGTGGAAAAGTTGGGACTGAAATGGGACAAGCTGGCAGGCGTGACAACGGATGGTTGTCCAAATCTGACAGGGAAAAATGTTGGACTATTGAAGAGAATGCAGGATAAAGTGACAGAAATTAACCCTGAGCAGAAATAGGTATTTTTGCATTGTATTATACATCAGGAAGTGTTGTGTAAGTCAGTGTTAAAAATTAACCATGTTGTTGATGTTGTAACTAAAATAGTTAATTTCATCAGGGCAAGAGCATTGAATCACAGACAGGTTGTTGCACTTTTGGAGGAAAGTGAGACTGAACATCGTGACATACCCTACCATGCAGCTGTCAGGTGGCTCAGCCTGGGCAAAGTGCTGAAAAGAGTATGGGACCTGAGAGAAGAGATTCAAGACTTCTGTGTGAAGAAAGGAAACGACATCCCACAGCTTTCAGATGCAGACTGGATGGCAGACCTTGGTTTTGCTGTAGATGTGACTGCACTAATGAGTGAACTAAATGTCAAACTGCAAGGCAAGGGCCTTTTTGTGCATGACATGTACAGTGTAGTGAAGGCTTTCATGAGAAAGCTGCAGCTTCTCTCAAGCCAAATGGAGGACAACATTCTCACGCACTTGCCAACACTGAAGGAAGCCACACCATCAGCTGATCACCTCCAGAGGTACTCATCCATGTTAGAAGCACTGCATGGTGAGTTTTCAAGGCGATTTAAAGACTTCAAAACAGTTGAGAATGAAATGAACATGATCTTTTCCCCATTTACATGCCATGTGGATGATGCACCCAGTGATGTTCAGCTTGAACTCATTGACCTGCAGTCTGACACACTTCTGTCAGAGCACTTTAGGTCAGTCTCACTGCCTGAGTTTTACTCTTCCCTGAAAGAGGAGAACTTTCCACACATCAGGAGACGTGCTCAGAAGATGATGGTCCTCTTTGGATCTACCTACATATGTGAACAGACATTCTCAGTAATGAAGTTCAACAAATCCAGATACAGATCCTCTATCACTGATGATCACCTCTCAGCTGTCCTTCGCATATCCACCTCAGACATTGAACCAGATTTCCGTGCACTTGTTCAAGCCCAAGACAGACTGGATTTTTCTCACTGAACAAGTAACATTAACTGAAAAACAAAAATCAAAAGCACTCATTTCTTTTTGTATAAAGCTGATTCATTTCTTATCTTTAACATACTGTAAAACACGTTTTCAGTATTGGTATATTGAGCAGAATTAAGTTCAACTTATTTTTGATTCGGCCCCCCAACACAGCTCGAGTTTCTGAAGTGGCCCGGCTTTCTGGATCTTGGTGATGCTTGATATTGTCAGCCAGGGCAGTGCGCAGGATTGTCAAGGTGTGGTCGAGGGGAGAGAATCGCCGAGCCGCTTTGGAGAGAGACGGGCCGCCGTGTGACTCCGGGCAGCTGGGCTTAATAGCACCTCGGCTACGGAGGTGTCCGTGATCGCGCTGTTCATCGCTCTTCAGCTCCACCCCATCGTAAGACCTGCAACACACCTGCACAAAGGCCCTGGGGCCGTCACACTCTTCTATAACAACAGTTCGGTTAGTTAGCGTATAAAATACATGGCTGTACCGACGCCATTATAAGACTGATGTTCCCCGAAAAAAGCGGGCGGAGCCTCTCTGGTTGACTAATCAGAACAGAGTGGCCGAGCTGACCAATCGGAGCACACTAGGCTCACGGAGGGGGGGGGCAAGAGCTCCAACGAGTCGTTTAGTGGAGAAAGTGAATACTGCTGAATACACATACTTGACAGAGATGCTGTATGCGAAACCAATGTGAGTTTGGAAAATTGCACAGTATAAATCTATTTTAGTATACCTCAACAATGTAATTATGATCAGTGGAAATAGCCATGACATGGGCCCTTTAAGTCACATGGTGTGCTATAACTGAACATGAAAGTGAAAGTGAGCAGCTGTTAGCATATAAAAGAGACTTTTCCTGTCAGTTGAGAGCTATCTCATTCTGGGGTTAGTAACACGTTAGATGACCAATATTTATCTGTTTTCATTTTAAACACGCAGGTAATAAGTTGAGGTCTGAGTCGAGGAACTGCAGAACGCACACTGTCAGAGGAGAAACATGTCTGCTGCAAGGTAAATCATTTATATCGTTGGGACACTTTTACACAGAAAAAGACATTAACAACATTATTTTGTAGTGAGTGTCATTTAGCTATTTCCACTGTGTGTTTAGCACTTCTGTCTCTTTGTGGTCGTCTTCTTTGTGTCTCTCTGTAGTTGTTTGTTTTTATTTGTATGTCTCTTTGCTTTTTGTCTCTGTGTAGTTGCTTGGTTTCGGTGAAGCAGAACTCTTACTGCGGTTCAACTTCAGTATTTAGTTTACCCTGAAGATAAAGAGAGGCTCTCAGGCTTGTTGTCTTACAGTATTTATTTTTCCTCAAAGTTTTCCTTTCACTTTACTGTATTTGACAGAGGCATCATTTCTGTTTACACAACTGTAACTATGTGTTGTGCAGGAATGTTGCACCAATTTGTTTTGGAGAAAAACTAAATGATAGCAACTGTATATTTGTGTTTCTGCACATATTTTTGTAGACTTGAACAATCTTTTTATGCAGAATTCTCAACACACAGATCACCATAAAAGATGAGTGTGCTTTATATAAAGCACCACAGTGTGTAGTTGGTGCAACGTTTGGTTTTGGTAAGTGTTTATGTAGTTTTGGGTGCAGTGCTTCATTTTGCAAGATATATGAGGTGTTTTGCACTTTGGGTGTGTGGTTTTGTGAATTGTGTTTAGTGTTCTGAGAAAATGAGCCCTGTTGTCAAAAAATGTGTTTTAGCAAGTACACACAGAGGAATTGAACTAACACTTGTTTTTTATTTTTCAAATGTACTGATGAAAACTATATTGATTAATTTGTTTGTGAAGTCTTAGCTGTTGAGGTTGAAGAATTATTTCAATAGAGGTATTTTTTGTTACAGAAAAATGCTCCAGGAGGCCTTGTGCTGCTACACCGCAGATACCCTCATCGACATCGATACAGTGAAAGAATTCTGTGAGCAGAGTTCTAAATGGATACTAAAGAGGGAGAAAGAGGTGGATATAATGAAGGACATCAAAACCAGGGCAGATAACATTGACCTCAGCATCGACCATGTTACCAAGTCACAGACCAAAGGTAAAGCCTTTCTGGAATATATGAAGAGCAAGGTAACCCAGGGTACTGCAGACAGGAGGCGAGCAGAGCTGGAGAAGGAACTGGATGCTCTGCTGAAGTCCACTCTGGAAGGCCTGGAGGAGCTCGACTGCTTCTTGGATGCGGTGGAGAATCTGGCGGTCACCTCACTTCCTTTGTTCATGGAAGAGAACCAGGTGTTACATCTGCCTGAAGGGATCAGCCCTGTAACGGTTCAGCTTGTCATCATTGCTGCACGGATGATCTGCCCTCACCTCCTCAAGTTTAAAAGAGATGCAGACGCCTTCTTCCGCCCCAAACTTCAGAATGTGGAAGTGCTGGCATATCAGCTGGACAAATACATAAGGACCACCGAGAACATCTGTGAGAAGTTAGAGAAAAGGTAAAGAGGCATGCCCTTAAAATAATATGCACATTTAGCTAAATAAACATCTATTATAAAAATATTTTCCTGTTTTTCACAGCTCCTTCTGTGACTTTTGCCTGAAGATGAACGACGATACACTGGTAGAACTCGCTGTGGATTTGTCTGAAGACGACACACAAAGGATGCTTCATCACATTAATCAGCTCGAGGAACTCAGGTACGTGTAACTCCTTTATGTGGTTTTTGTCAACACAGCTGTGCAAGGTGTGATGAGTAATGATAATGAAAACGATGACATGCACTCAATAATTGGCTTGCTTGTTGTTGACTGCATAGCCATAGACGAACACAAATCTTTGTACACATTTTAATAGTTACTTCAACCTCAGATTTACTGTATGTTCAGTGGTAATTAGCAAACCCTAGAATGCTAACATGCTCAACTAATATGGTCATGCAATTACACAAGCAAAACACATTTAAAAAAAGCTTTTAAAATGCAAAGGAGCTTGAGATACAGCATTAATGCTTAAGACCAGGGGTCAGCAACCTTTTTGATATGAAGTGCCATTTGAAAAAAGAAATCACATTAAGATTATCATTAATTGCAATAATGACATCACAACATTTCCAGCGGATCTGTAATTTTATTACATCAATAAAATTGATGTCCGGCAGTGGCTCAGTCAGTAGGGGCTTGGACTGGGAGCTGTAGGGTTGCCGGTTCAAGTCCCCGACCAGACCTAAAATGTGGAGTGTGGACTGCTACTTGGAGAGGTCCCAGTTCACCTCCTGCCCTGCTGTGGTGCCCTTGAGCAAGGCACCGGACACCCCCCTTCCCCACTCATTCCCATTGCTCCCTGGGCGCTGTACACTAGCTGCCCACTGCTCCTAGTACTAGACTCCTGGTACTAGGATGGGTTAAATGCAGAGGCCAAATTTCACTGTGTGTGCTGTGTGCTCTGCATGTGTGACCATTAAAAGAGGGTTTCATCCCTCCCAATTCTATTCTATCAAAGTGCATAGCAACATTTAAAAGAAAGCAGCCATCCTTATGAAAACATTCACATCTGAGTTGAAATCACTAATCACTGTGGGGGAAACTTCTGAAGCAATTGGAAACAGGACTCAGAGAGACTTGAGGAGAGCTGGAGCTTTAATGGCAAACACTGACGGTTTATGTGGAGCTTCGGCCGGAGAATTCACAAGACCTGTCATGAGCCACGAGTTGACACAGGTTGAGATGCCAAATCAATTCTGAAGATCTCTACCTCAGACCCATGTATTTAGCTAGTTCTGAGAGAATAATCAACATTGTGCATAACAAGATAGAACCATAACACCTCTATCAGTTGACGCCAACAGGCAGGAACAGGGAGACAAAACACTGAGAGCACAGCCTCCAAGGCTACAGGTGCCTGTGCTCAGTCAGGACAGTTTAAACTGATAAACTGGGTCACAGTTATGGGCCCTGGAAAATATTTCCCCAACAGTCACCAATTAAGCACCAATCTTCAGCAATAAACTTGCAATGTGTTAACAGCAAATGTCAAAACGGGTGAATTAAATGTAACAAACAGAAACATGAGCACCAAGTATGCTCCCATCCATATGAAAACATCCACATCCGATTTATCACATAACAGGAAGGCTTTTTTTAAAAATAAATATTGAAGTTAAAAGCATCAATCTGGTGCACACCCATATGAAACAGAACTGTAAACAGATTTTCTTTTTCTTTATGGATATTTTACAAATCACTCCCCTTAAACTGTATTCCTTTCGTGCATGGCTTCCTTCTGCAGGTAACGGGGAGACGCGCTTTGGCGGCGGTCTCGTTCCGGATCTGAAAATACAATTTAAATATTTTTGCACACTTATTCCACTTATTCCTAGTGGGCCACTGGTTACGGTACCGCGTTCCACCATTGTGCCTAGGGTTGCCGACCCCTGCTTTAGACTCTAAACTGTTTGAATTTGCAGCAACTTCAGGGTTTTAGAGGTAGATATCCATGATTCAGGACTCGTTTTTGAAAGCATCCCTGCCTTATGAAATATTTAGTTTTTTGTTGATTTTATTGCGCTACAGTATGTTGCCTCCTAATGTGTGTCCCATAAAGAAAATCTCAAATCCAATGTTTTTTGTATTATAGGTTACATACTAACTTTTTTCATTCATCATGTTATTTTGTATTTCCTCTTATCTCATCGTCAGGATGAACCAGAGCTTCCGGATGGTGTTCTTGTTTCAGGGGGACGAACCCTGCTCTGATTTCATCAATACGTTTAAAAAGCAAAAGCAGAGGATGGAACAGTCTCTCAAGGACCTGGAGGAGCATGCTGTTCAGTTAGACAGGATGAATAAGGGAGCAAAGATCTCCAGTGTGGCAGGCAGCTCAGTGGGGGCAGTAGGAGGTGTGCTCTCCATCGTTGGTTTGGCTTTAATTCCTGTAACAGCTGGAGTGTCTTTGGCTCTGACAATGACCGGGTTAGGCATGGGAATTACCAGCGGAGTCAACGGCGCTGTCACCACCGCCACAGAGATTGGAGTAAACCTTAAACATCAAAGCAAAGCCAAAGAAGTGTTTGAGAGCTTCATGGAGGATGTGCAGTGTCTCCAGGATTGTCTGGAGGTCGTCACCAAAAGAGAAGCAATCCCTGTTGTTCTCGGGGTCGGCAAGGTGCTAGCTAAAGCTTGTGTTATTGGAAACGGTATTGACTCATTAGTTGATGCAGCCTCTGCTTTCAAGCTGTTAAAAAGGGAAGAGCTGGCTATGAGTGCTGGTAAAGTGGCAGTGCAGGAAGGGAAAGCTTTACGCAGCGTTCGCAGCATGGCGGCAGATATCCCAGATATCGGTCAGGCAGCAGTCAAAGGGCCTCTTGCCCTCTCCAAGTCAGTCAGGGCCGGTCTCATTGGGCTCAATGCTCTGTTCCTCGGCATGGATATCATCTTTATCTGTAAAGATAGCATCAGTCTGGCCAAAGGAAGCGAGACTGAGGTCTCACAGTTTATCAGAGCCAGAGCAGCACTTTGGAGATCAGAGGTGGATTCAATGCAGATGATCCATGACCTCCTCTGCGAAGGTTTGAAGATATCGGAAGAAAACAAGGCTATCCTGGAGACACCAATTTTTCCAGAGAGGAAAAAAAAGCTTTGTTTAATACAGTAGTGAACACCAAACAAAGACACCTACTGAATTTTAGTATTTTTGCCAAATCTGGATATGAAATCTGTATAATCACATATGAGATGAATTTTAACTGCTACAGCTCACTGTTCACCACATGTATCTTTGACGTCATTAACCTTTTTTCAAACCTGTTTCAATATAACGCATTTAAGAGTTGCTATTGCTATGTAAAAATGTTAAATAAAACAATCAATAAATCAATAAATCAATGACATTGTGTATACAACCCAATACCACAAATTACACATTTGTATAAGGGGGCTTCACAGACTGTACAGCATACAACACGCTCTGTCTTCAGACCCATGCAGACAAGAGAAACTCCACAATTAACTAATTAACTAATTAATTAGTAAAAATGAGAGAAACGTCCGGAAGCAACTGAAGAGGGATCGGAAGGACGGACAGATGTGCAAAAGATGTTGTGTGTACAGAATAAATGAAGAACATTCTATAATTTGTATGATCTGCATTATTTGTATGTATAATTCTAACTATATTTTTTTCTTGTACAAATTAATCAATAAAGTTTTAAGTAGTTAAACATTGTTTCTGTTCATTTTAATAATGGATTAATATATACAGTAGATATATATTCGAAAGCATTCTGATGCTATACTAGAATTATTTGAAATTATTTTCTCCAAGCTTTTCAATCACATCATCATATTTTATGCATTCGATCTCTCGTAATGATAATGCCGGCAGCTCAGCACAGCCGGTAGTCAGTCAGAGTCAGGTCAACCGGAGAAAGTTGAGTTACTAAACAACTCCAGCTGAAGTCAATAACTTTGTAAGTCAAGGAAGCGAGAGGGGGGTTCGGTAAAGGGTTTCTTTTGTTTGGTTATTCTTGAGGTTGTTTTTTTTTATTGGGCAACAATCCTTTGTATTTTATTGCCTTGTACTATAGGCAATAATCATTTTTAAACATGTCTGCTGAAAGGTAAAGCATTGAGCCACTTTTGCACAGAAAAAGACATTAAAAACATTAACCCTCTAGTAACATAAGTGTCATAAAGTATGTGCACTATGAGTTTTGAAATATTAAATAAACGGAAGAAGTAATGTTAAAGCCTATTGTTTAACAAAGACAACAAATAGAGAAGTAGCCATGTCACATCTGCATTTTTCTGTCTCTTTGTAGTGGCTTTTTGTCCATGTGAAGTTGATTAATACCTATCTCAGTGACAGGTGCAGGTGAAGCAGAACTCACAGGTCAAACTTCAGTACAACTTCAGCATTCAGTTAACTCGGCAGATAAAGAAAGGCTCTCTGACTTTTTGTCTTAATCTTTCTGCCACAGCAGATCATCACAGACACGGCTATTCATTGCTTAGTTGGTAGAACATATTGTGATAGTTACGGCAGTGAAGTTAGTTTTAGGTTGGATATTTGAAAGACGTTCACTCTGGATCCAGCGGCGCCTTAACCTTTTAAAACCTTTAGTACAGAAATGGGTGTGGTGGTTCTACCTGGTGATGTTAAACAAAGGAAACGAAACCTAACAGCTTCAGCTGCCATGTCAACTAAATTCCTCAACAAGTAGTCTGGTGATAGAGATTTTAGCAGAATAGTTTTCTGGTTCCTGGGGTAAGGGTGAGTGACAGGTCAGATGTACAATATTTACCTATTTTAAACAAGCAGGTCATGAAGAAAAAATATTTGATCATAAAGAGTGGAAGTATTTGTTTAAAACTTGAAATGAGTTGTCTTTGGGATTTATGAATAGGTTCAAATTACTATATTCTACACCGCAAGCCTCAGTTTCAATAGATGGGACAATGTCTTCTCATTTCTCAATATGTTAAAGCAGGGGTTCTCAAAGTGGGGGTCGCGACCCCCCGGGGGGTAGCGAGATGATTACAAAATAAAAATTGTAAATTAAAAAATATTATTTTCTTTTCTTTATAAAAAAATGTTAATAATTTTTTTTTAATTATTATTAATAATAACGTGTGCATATACATTTTTCAGGGGCAGACTAGCCATCTGTATAATTTCCCCGCAGCGAGGCTCCCCCCGTTGACAATCCACTAGCGGAGTGTTTCTCAAACTTTTTCATACCAAGGACCACTTAACCAATAAAAAAACACTCACGGACCACCTAACTCCACAAATATCCAAAAACAATAGGCCTGCTTACCACTCCAACAGTACATAACAGCCTAATAATGACAGCTTAACCTTCTCTACATCGCCTCGTTGTAAGGTTTTAGTGTTTGTCTATCTGTCTTATTTTGACATGACTCTGCTCTATCTTTCCAGGTGTCTGCACTTCCTGTCTTTGTGTGTCACCGGTCAGACTGATTGTTGTTCCCGCCCCTGATTGTGTCCACCTGTGCCTCATTACCTAATGTGTGTGTGTGTATATATAGCCCTTCTCTCCCTTTGTCTTGTGTTGGTTCGTCTTGTCTCTTCATGATATCCATGCTGTTACCAGAGACTTTGTAAATACCTAGTTGAACCTAAGGATTCTTTGGAAATGTCCTAGTAGATCCTAGAAGACTTTTGAAAAGCTTTGTGATCTTTATAAATAAAGACTATTACCAAAGCAAAGGAATCGAGCATCTGAGTTCTTAAAGAGCCCTTCGTGTCAGAACCAACCAACCAAACAAGATGGACTCAGCCGATTCTACTACAGTAAGAACGGCCCTGCAGGCGCAGGGTACACACCTTCATCAACATGAGGGACAGCTGTCAGCAATCAACCAAGGGGTCCAGGATTTACATGCTCGTCAAGACAACTTTCAAGCTACGGTGACGACAGAAATAAATCTACTGGCTGAAAAGATGCGGGACATACTGACTCACCTCGTGGCAAACCCTGGTGTTCCTGCGGCAGAGTTTTCCGGTTCAGCGGGGGTCGGGTCTGCTGATATCCCCGTTCAAGTACCCATGCAGTCACCTACGATCCGTCTCGCTTCGCCGGAGAAATTCTCCGGAGACTCTGGAAACTGTCGTCCCTTCCTGGTACAGTGCGATCTCCACTTCAAACACCAGCCCGCAGCATTTCCCACCGATCAAGCTAAAGTAGCTTTTATTGTCTCTCATCTGACGGGTAGAGCGGAAGCCTGGGCAACAGCGGAGTGGTCCCGGTGCTCGCCTGTTTGTCAGTCATTGGAACTGTTCTTGGATACCATGAGCAAGATCTTTGATCAGATATCACCCGGGAGAGAGTCAGCGAGAGCCCTGGTGAACATTAAACAGCGGCAGAGGAGAGTGGCGGATTACGCAATTGATTTCCGTACTCTGGCAGCGGAGAGTGGGTGGAACTCGGCGGCTCTCTTTGATGCTTTCCTGCATGGGTTAGCGGATCCCATAAAGGATCAGTTAGCTCCATTACAGCTGCCTGAAGATTTGGACTCGCTCATCGCCATGGCTATCCGGGTTGATCAACGTCTAGCTGATAGACAGCGGGAAAAGGGAAGGAATGCAGTATCCACTCCACCTTTCAGACGGGAGTTACCGAGGGAATACTACACTTGGCAGAGGAATTCCCAGACTTCATCTCCAGAGCGATCAGCGCCTCCTATCGCCGCGGAGGAACAGATGCAGCTCGGAAGAGCCAGACTCACGCCGGAGGAGCGTCAGCGCCGTCTACGGGAGCGGCGGTGCTTCTACTGCGGCCAGCAGGGTCATGTTTCGGCAGCCTGTTCGGCAAAAGATCAGGCTCATCAGCAGGAAGGAAGACGCTGGTGAGCCGAGTGACTTCCTTCGACTCTCCAGTCAGAAAATTAATGCAGGTACGAATCAAGCTTGGGGATAAGACTATGACTCAGGATGCATTAGTCGATTCTGGGGCTGATGAGAGTTTGTTAGACTGGGAGCTGGCAAAGAGTTTGAATTTAAAGGTTGTACTTTTAGATCAGCCCTTAGAGGCTAGTGCTTTGGACGGCCGCCTTTTATGTACAGTTACTCATCGCACTGAGCCCATGGTATTAGTCGTAGATCAGGAACATCGAGAGCAAATTAGTTTTCATTTATTTAACTCTGCTCAACATCCTCTCATTTTGGGGTACCCTTGGCTTGTTAAACACAACCCTCACGTTGACTGGCAGACAGGAAAGGTGAAAGGGTGGGGGGTTGAGTGCTCTCGTTCATGTTTAACCAGTGAAACAGGGTTGAGTAACAGACCTAGTAACTTTAAGCAGGGGTCAGGTAATAGCAGTGACATTTGTTCTAAACCTTCTGACTTTCCTGACTTGTCTAAAGTTCCTGGTTGCTATTCAGACATTAAGGAGGTGTTTAACAAAACACGAGCTACTTCATTGCCTCCCCATAGACCGTACGATTGTCCCATAGAACTTCTGTCGGGCTCTACTATTCCCAAGGGACGGCTGTACTCTCTTTCTGGGCCAGAAAGGGAGGCCATGAAGGCATATATCGATTCTTCACTCAAGACTGGGTTGATTCGGACATCTTCATCCCCAGCAGCGGCAGGTTTCTTTTTTGTGGGAAAAAAGGATGGGACATTGAGGCCCTGTATTGATTATAGTCCGCTAAATCAGATCACGGTTAAGAACAGATATCCCCTTCCACTCATCTCTACGGCATTTGAACTATTACAAGGAGCTAAGATATTTACCAAGCTTGACCTAAGGAATGCTTATCACCTTGTGCGCATCCGGGAGGGGGATGAGTGGAAAACAGGTTTCAATACACCTACGGGACATTACGAATATTTGGTGATGCCTTTTGGACTTTGTAATGCACCTGCTGTTTTCCAAGCTCTCATTAACGATGTGTTAAGAGATTTCCTGAATGTTTTCTGTTTTGTGTATCTCGATGATATTCTCATCTTTTCTCCAGATGAGAATACTCATGTTAACCATGTTCATCTTGTTCTTCAAAGACTCCTGGCTAATCATTTGTTTGTGAAAGCCGAAAAATGTGAGTTTCATGTCAACTCAGTATCATTTTTGGGCTTTGTGATTTCCCCTAACAAGATGGAAATGGACCCAGCAAAGGTCAGTGATGTGGCAAATTGGCCTACGCCAAACTCCAGAAAGAAAGTTCAGCAATTCTTGGGGTTTGCTAACTTTTACAGACGTTTCATACGCAATTTCAGTGCTATTGCCTCTCCTCTCCATTCCCTTACCTCTCCCCATGTTCAGTTTGTGTGGAATCCACAGGCAGAGAAATCCTTCATGGATCTGAAGAGGAGGTTCACCACAGCTCCTATCCTGACTGTACCTGATCGCAACCGACAGTTTGTGGTGGAAGTAGACGCCTCTAACGATGGCGTTGGAGCTATACTGTCTCAGATGTCAGCGGGGGACAATAAACTTCATCCGTGTGCCTATCTCTCCCGTAAGCTATCTTCTGCTGAGAGGAATTACGACGTGGGAAATCGGGAACTCTTGGCTGTGAAGATTGCTTTGGAGGAGTGGCGGCACTGGTTGGAGGGAGCAGAGCAGGATTTCCTGGTATGGACAGATCATAAAAACTTGCAGTACATCAGGAGGGTAAAGCGCTTGAACTCCAGACAAGCCAGGTGGGCTTTATTCTTTAACAGATTTAGCTTCACTCTGTCTTATCGACCTG